CAAAACTCTTGCTTCAAAGTCAACTTTGAAAAACCAGACAGAATGTTATTATTATTTATATTTATATATGGTACTGCTTATACTTAACAAAAAATCTCATCAGAAATCTTCCAGAGCAAATATTTATTTCTTGTTATAGATAGATGCCTCTATCTAAATGGAAGTTCATAATGATCAATTTTATATGAGCCGAGTTTTCTTACTAAGACAATCTTGTGGAGAGGTCTGTTGCCCTGAAGGACTGTGACGTCAGGGACAAGCTTGTGTTTGGCCTACTCCCCTTACAACAGTTTGCACGTTGCTGTGACCTGTGCCCTCCTTCCTCTTGGTTCTAATCAAAGACAAAATTAAAAACAGAAAGAGTGGACGGATGTTTCTCGCCCCAACAATCGCCATGGAGCTCTCCATTTACAGACAATGTGAAAGCCGTTGGATACGGACATTGTTACAGCTGTTTTGTATTTCACTTCGACTACCTATCTGTAGAGTTGTAACTGAGCGGCAGATGAACTCTTGGTTTCAGTGTGGCCATATTTCTGAAGTCAAATTGCTGTGAAATTCCCTATTTATTTCTATAGATGGACTCCACTGACACCAATCTGAGTGAAATCCTTGCCGTTTCCACTTATGACTGAAACAGGGACAGAGAGAGACATGTTAGAGGTCCTGCTGTAACGGGTGAATGTGTTTATATATGTGTGTGTGTGTACTGGCTAAATCTTTGTGTACATACTGGATAAATGTGTATATATGGTATGTCAATGTGTATATACAGTTTGTTTGTATATGCAGAGTGTACAGTTATTTTTTCCTCTAATGTTTCTCTCTCTTTCTATGAATAGGTCTTCTCAAGTTACCAATACTGAGGCATGGAAAGGTTTTTAAATGTACTGACAGCTATCAGAGGCACCTTCTGTGCAGACTCAATATCCGCAGGGTCTGTCACGTAACAGCTGCATTCTTGAAGCTCTCATACAAGAAGTTACTCACATAATCTTAAGCTTGCACTCATTTTCTGACCAACTAAAAAGCTTTTCTAAGTAGATTTGGGTGACCAAGCAATGTTTGTACATATATAGACTAAGACATTTTTTCCAGAAATCTCCATCTGCATTTCTTTGAGACTTCTCAACCTGTTTTGAGTTCTTGCGTATCTGACTTTCACTTTAGGTTCCTATGATATATGTTTGCAGTGGTTGTCATTCAGAGTTATATATTTATTCTGGCAACCCTTATATATTTCTTGAAATTTTGTTCCCCAAATTCTGCCTCTCATGGAGCCTTCTAACCTTTTGTTAAGATGTGGTTAGATTGGCAAATACTTCCATGAAAGTATACTATTATTAGTTAACATTGCGTGTTTTTGTATGGGTCCTTACTAAATAAGTGTGCCTCCCCCCCTTATACTCTTACTAACCATAGATCCATTTGCTCCGCTGGTCACTCATGTTCATACCCCTTGACAAGCCATAGTCACCATCCCCAAAATTCCTCTATTGTTGTTTTGACAGGACAGACATTTGGGGATTTTGTGTATATTAATGGAAGAGTGGTGTTGAAGAGTGTATTGCAGTTGTATATGGATTTGTTATGAATGTGGATATTCTGATCATAGAATTATTATTGAAATAATGATAATAATTATTGCCACTTTGATTTTGTTGATTAATTCTTTTGATGCAGTTGATGAAGATGCCATTGTTCTTTTTTTTTTTTTTTGGAATACACCGGAATTTATATTTTTTGGGTGGGTGAATCTGGAGATAGAAATACGTAAATAAATTAATAAATAAACAAATAATTAAATTCTTAACTTGACGTGGAACTGTGTGTTCTGTTTCTTAATGGACTAACTAGGACTACACTTCAGATTACATAGTTAGTGTGGTGATTATACTTTTCAAATTGTCAACAAATCTTAAGATTATACAGTACCACAACCCACAATAGCTTATCCATATGTGTCTTAAAAACACATCAATGAGCCACACTGGATGGCACTGTTTGATATTTTCCTTCATTACAATAGCCATTGTAGGTTTTCTTGGGTTAACCCCACATACACTATTCTGCTGCTGTAAATACCTACTAGTGCACCAAATTTTAAAATAGCCCTCACCGATGCACTATTTGCTTGTGTTTGAATAACATTTGGTAAAACCTACAGTGGGCAGCTGTTTTAGGACAGTTCTGGGCCTTTTTTAAAATAAATTATATCATTAGTCGTTTTTAAAGATTTACATTTATTACTGGGCTTGTGCGTGAAAGCCAAAAGGCCAGGGAAATTAGAAAAAGCCAAAAGATGGAAATGATCTTTTGAGTTGATCTTTTGTCTGGAAGTAGTGTTTGGTCATTTCCTTTTAGACTGGGGCCACAGCTAATGATTATTTGTGTCACAAAAGTTTCTGTCACTTATTATTCCGATTAAATGATTGATTGTTTATTCTATAAAATGTCAAAAAATGGAAAAACAAAACTGACAATTTTTCAGTGCCCTACATTATAATCATGTCCACTCAAGAGTCCAAAACCTCCAAATATTTAAGTCATATTAAACGGGGGGGAGCAAAAGTAAAAATTCTCACATCTTAGTAGCACTTACCAGGAAATGTTGCATGATAAATTACTCAAATGACTGATCTATTATCTAAAATTGCTGTCAATTGACTCAATCAATTCACTCAATCATCTAATCAATTAATCAGCTAATTGTTTCAGCACTAGAAGAATATACACAATCTTAACAAGATTATGAACTGTGGAGAAATGCAGACCTTTGTCAAGTCAAAAATTGTATACTTTCCTCGTAACTGAAAATGAATACTTTTCTTCCAGTGTTTATAATATAAAGGAAATTATTTATTTTCACAAGTACATTTTTGCACATTATGGTTGCATCACAGTGTCTGCTCATCTACATCATTTACATTTTGTCTTTACATATTCTTCCCAGCCAATGGGCTGATGGGAACCGGGCACTCAACTGAATATAGCAAGCTTGTAATTATTCTCATCCTCCTACACTTAATTGCCTACAGTTTCATAGTGGGTTGGAAACTTTGGACAGAGCAGAAAAAAATCAGCACAGTGAAAACTCTGCAGGTTAAACTGAATAACATTCAAGTCACAGTAAGAAGAACAAACATGTTTTCATTCACCATGTCATATTATGCAACAACGTAACATAACATAACATAACATAACAGACCAACGAGCATTTTTAGTGTATTTATATAAAAATTCAATTATTTATACTTACTTCCAAACATCACTACACACCTCAATAAAACCACACCTTTCTCCTTAACTGATGCCATCTTGACTTAGAATGCCAGTGATCCCCTACATCTTAATTTGTCTTAACAATATCCTCTTTCTACAGTCAGAAAATACATTAAAATACAAAAAAGGTAAGTAAGCATCTGTCAAAATGCCATTTATCTGCAACTTTTTTTGACATTTCATTTATAGAGACATCATATAATCTATGATGTATATAGACCTCTGCTGGAAACCAGGGGGAATTACAACAGCAGAGTTTATAGAGGCCATGGTCACAGTGCTTTAATGGAACAGTTTTTACACAAACCTCATTTCTTTTTAAAAAACAAAAGGCAAATATTTGTGAAACAGTCTGTACATACCCATACAGTCCTGAGTCACAGATCTAATCTCTCTCCCTCAACTCTGACTTCTGGACAGAAATTTGCAATAACATCTTTTCTATGACCAGCAATGTAAACTTACAACTTATACAATACAAGACCATTTACAGGACCCATATTACACAAAGTAAAATGTTCAAAATGAGTTTCACTGACACAGACATCTGCATACAATGAACTCTAGATTGCACCAACAGTTACTTTCATGCTACTTGGACCTGCCAACCAGTTTATTCCCTCTGGATAGCAGTGACAGAGAGACTCTCCACCATCTTGGGCTGTAGAATCCCTCCTTCTCCATCACTTTGCTTACTCGGTAATAGCATAGAAATCGACCACCTACCAATTAAATACAAAAACCCACTTCTCATTTCTCTAGCTATTGCCAAGAAAACAATCTTTCAAAACTGGAAATAAAAAAAAAAAATCACTCCATATAAACCACTGGACCAACCTTCTGATAGAATACATCACATTAGAGAAAATGGCATCCACTCACAAGAATAGTTTATCAGCTTTTTATGACGCATGGAACCCATTTTTAACACATTTCAACTTGAACCAAATACCTGGGGCTGAGGCCACGCACATTCCCACCAGCCTCTAAAAATGTAACAAGCTGATTTTATTAGTAGCACTGTTATCATCATTATTGTTGGTAATTTGTATTTATTTTTTCTCCTTTCCCATTCTTGTATTTCATAGACTGCATAAGTTGGAAATACCCACATTTCACACACTACAACCTTGTTAAACATTCTATATTCTTTTGTAACGTCATGTATCTGTTGTCTTGTCTCCCATGTTCAGTTCTGTTTTGTTAATGTGTTACTTTCAATAAAAAAGGGGGGAAAAGGTCTAATCAGGCGAAATAAGTCAAAATATACTTGGATGGTCCATATAGATGCATAGGGGCTATAATAGATATAAATGTTATGAAGTGATTCTTGAAGTCATAATATGAGCTGTAATACCGTCATGACCTGATTGTAGCGATAGAAAATTATGCATACTGTAAATAAATGATTGAATTTTCCACATGAAGAAGCAAACCGCCACAAAATGAAGATCTCTCCTTGTCATAGAATACAAACGGTATGAAGTCTGTTTTCTTAGATCTTTTTTTAAATAGGGGACCAACAATTGTTTTCTACAAGATTTTCGGAAATTAGGGATTTGCATAGTATCTGGCAACACCCAAGGTAATCTCGTGATTTTGTTTTTATTCTCGCGATATCCAGGCGGTCACTGCCTGATAGGAATAATGGCCACCTTCGTAGCAATGGCTCCAAAGGGGGGCAAAACCGGAACGCTAACCGAGCGGTTTTTAAGAGCGTAAATTACTGGGCACCCCCTTCTGCCCGGTTTTCAGAACGAATGGGTAGAGGGGGACTTGCCAAAAAACACAAGGAACGAAAGAGTATCGGAGGGAAGGGGGAGAAAGCTAACGCTACGTTGATAGCTAGCGCCAGCTGGCTACCAACACGGTTGTTACTGCCGGGGAGTAAACTCGAGTAGCCGTGACAGTTTGTGTCTAAAAGGTTGAAGGAAACGAAGAGTAACCGCTGGAGCGTCTGATCAAACAACCGGATATTCCCTAATATGAGTGGACCGGGACAGGACAGCGAGACAGAGGCGAAAGTCCTTCTCATCAAGCGGCTTTACAGGTAGGTTGGCGAGGCCGTTGCCAAGCTAACCAAGGTGCTAATGCTAATTAAACGTTATTGTGCTAGCTAACTTAGCGCTAGCCAATCAGTGTTTGCTACTGAAAAACAGCGTCTGTGTTTTTTTTCTCCGATAACCTGTCACGACAGCGCATCACCCGACATCCCTGTAAACTGTCAGTGTAACATGAGTTAAATCCGACCCGGCACGCATCGGGCTAAGGTGTAACTTGTTTGTTATGACTCCGTTTGTTACAGAGAAAAACTGAAAGGTTTTTGGTTGCTAGTATGACAGACCGTCGCATTTGAGCTGGTATTTGTTCAAATATTGCCAGACAATATTATCGGCTAGGATATATTGTCTCTATGCTAATGATATTCATACCCTGATGTTTAGAGCTGTGGTGGAGTCTGTGCACAAGCTGGATGCCATCATTGGCAACAAAGCATCCTACAGAGAGGTCTTCAAGCCGGAAAACATCAGCCTTCGCAACAAGTATGTCCACTTGTCTCAGCAGTATGTGTAAAGAAGCAGGTGTTTGACTTGAACTTCATTGGAAACATGAAGTTTCACATTGTCTGAATTTGTTCAGATATTGAACTGCAGTTCATTTAGCTGTTAAGACACCCGCTCTACATCTTTCAGCATCTTTGTGAGCTTTTTGGTGCTGACCAGACCACATATTCAGTATCCACATTATGTCCAGATCCTGTGCAGATAAACTGACCCCCATCGTGGTATCCAATAACACTGGATATTTGATATCGATAGGACTGTAATAGTTATTTCTATTATTGAGTGATCTTGAGTAATATTTCCTTGATTAATTGTTTTGTCTCTAAAATGCATGAAAATAGTAATGTCTGGCACACTTCCCCAGAGCTCAAATCAGTGTCATCAGATTCTTTGACCAAGAGTCCTAAATATAAAAAAATATTGAAGTTGTTATCGCACAGTAAGTCTAACAAAAACAGCAATTCTTACCAATCAAAAGCTAGAACTGGAGAATGTTTGACATTTTACCTTTACAAATTACTTGAACAGTATAGCCATTATCAAACTAATTAGTGATATTTTTTGGGGGGGTCATTTGATTGACACATTGTTTGGCTTCATGCAGACTGAATATCATATCTCAGATTTGTTGTGAACAATATTATGAAGCTGTACTGTGACTGATTGAAGAAATAACTAACTGTAAATTATCCTTAGTTTCATGCCTAGATATCACTATTGGATTTCATGAGAGTATGTAACCTTTGTCGGGCTGAAAATATTTATTTGTGCTTAGTCATAGAAAACAGGATTGCAGTGTTTATTTGCATACAACTTACAACCCAAATCTGACAGAGTCACATGATGCATATCTAAAAAAAAGCTAGAGAAAGAGGAGATATGATCCCAGTCATTTACATTGTTAGGGAATTTGTCAAACTTTATCCAGACCAATAAGTTCACTAAACAGGTCATCTGTTGGTTCCAGCTTCTATGATTTGCTGCTTTTCTTTGCTATCTACAGTACACAGAATATCTCTGGGCTTGCACTGCTATTTTCTGACAGCGTAAAGACCAGTCAGTTAATGAAGCTGCATTTACATTTATACTGCAGTACATGGACATATGCATCCCTGACCAACCCTGGATAATCAGATTTTGTGGCACACAGTTTGAGTATTATATAATCATCTTTGGCATTGAAGAATGGTGGGACTAAGCAAGAAAGCACAACTTCAAAGAGGAGATAATGAGTAACATTGCATGTACTTGCCTAACTGTATTAACATAATCTTCAGTGGCTGCACATATGGTGTGGGCACTGAGATTTCACAATATTCTGGTGAACAACTGACCATGTGAGACACAGAAGGGAAATTAAAGATATTAGTGATGTTACAAATACGTCTTTTGTCCATTGGCTTATACTACAAAAGCATAAATATGTTGAAGATGGAGTGGCTGTTGTGCTAGCTGAGTGTGTTCCTGTTTAGCTTCGCCTGTTCATGTGAAACTGGGCTGACTCACTGGTCCTTTTGCCAAACCAGTGACCCAACTACCTCCTTAACTAATGCTTGTGTGCATCTGCTTTTCTTTCCTTGTGTTTTCAGGCTGAGGGAGCATTGTGTGAAACTAATGTTTCTCCACCCTGTTGATTATGGCCGTAAAGCTGAGGAGCTGCTCTGGAGGAAGGTTTACTATGAGGTCATCCAGGTTATCAAGACAAACAAGAAGGTACTATAACTGGCCTGTTTGCAATCAAGATTTCATAAGTTGTGTTGTGGCTTTTAAATTTTAATTTAAAAAATAAGTTGAATTATTGTATTAATTGCTGATTGGCAACCTATATTATATCTAAGTGATAATATTGTTTCCTGCATTAACTGTTTCTGAATTGCTCGTCATTTTTATGCATGTTAAGCATATCTATTTCATGCTCCATGACAAAATCCTACTGAAGTGCAGTGTAATATTTATTATTTTAATTCTGATCACACTTCTAGTGTCTTAGTTTCTCTTTTTGTTGTCTTTCCTTCACCGCAGCACATTCACAGCCGCAGCACTCTGGAGTGTGCCTACCGCACACACCTGATTGCCGGCGTGGGTTTCTACCAACACCTGCTGCTCTACATCCAGTCACACTACCAGCTGGAGCTGCAGGACTGTATTGACTGGACCCATGTCACAGACCCGCTGATCGGTCAGATGCACAAAACACAAATTCATATTCAGTTACAGATAAAGAGCTTTCAGACACTCAAGCAGTGCTATTGTTTTGTGATAAAGTGTATCTTTTATGCTTAAGTGTTTGGCCATGTGTTTTAAAAAGTTTCTTTAATCACATAAAAAGCACTGATTTGATAAATCACATGGAAAGTGCAGGTATAAATCATAAAACGAATGAAGGCTGAATCCCATTTAGCAAGTTGTTGCTTGCTTTACTGTCATGGCTTACCAGAACACTGCTGTGGTTTAGAATGCAACCATTGTTAAAACCTGGCCTTTTCCTACTGTCAAGTCAATATGTTGTGATAAAGGCCTATTACAACAGAGTTTGTTTTCTGTTTTGAATACATGTTATTCTAGTTAGACATGAACCTAAATCCACAGACCCATGGTTTTTTCTTTCATAAGTTTTGTACTATTGAGATTTTCTTCTTTGTGCTACAAATCCCACGCAGAGTGGTGTTATGTTTTGAAACTTTGATTTAATATTTAAACTCCCCAAAGTCTCTAAAGCGTCCACTGGATTAAAGTTTGAACACATTTACAGATGGCATTAAAATGCACTTTGTATGTAGATTCATTCTCTGGACAACAGACTGTGTGAGTACGTCTTCGTATTTACACCATGTGTTTATGTGTGCATTGTCTGGCAGCACGGTGGCGCACAGCAAGAAGGCTCCGGGTTTGGGCCCCACCCGGGACCTTTTTGTGTGGAGTCTGCATGTTCTCCCTGTGCTTGCGTGGGTTCTCTCCGGGTACTCCGGCTTCCTCCCGCAGTCCAAAGACATGCAGCTTAGGTTGATTGGTGTCTCTAAATTGCCCATAGGAGTGCATGTGTGGTTGTTCGTCTATGTGTTAGCCCTGCGATGGATTGGCGACCTGTCCAGGGTGTACCCTGCCTTCGCCCAATTGCCGGCCGGGATTGCCCCCCCCGGACCCCGTTCAGGGATTAAGCGGTAGAAGATGAATGAATGAATGTCTGAATTCAGTATCGGATGCCAGTGTACCCCTGTATCCGAACAGATAAACAAGTGGAGAAGTGCCAAGTCAGTCAGCAAAGACAACTAGGCATGTATAGGGTCAGTTGTAGGTGGTGGTACTATTCATTCTGTACTTGACCTTTATCACAAAGGAGGTTGCCACCTACTCTGTGGTCTGATACCTTCTTATTTTTGCAAACATTCAGATTTAACTTGCACAAACATGAAATTATATTGGAGCCACAATGCCACTGGAAATCTGGACTGTTAGAAATGCCAAGGGGAAATTATATTCTGTAATCCAGTTTTCCAGCATGAAGTTAAAGTATAGTTAAAGTGTAGTTTCTTCTTGACTGCCTAAAACAGAAGTACTCTTTGCCATTAAAGCCTTATGGACAGAGAAACAGCACTTCAGGTATTATCTGGGTGCTGTCTCTAACATTTGGAATGCTCATACTGTTGCTTTGATGGAGTTTAAGATGCTTCTTTCATTACATAACTTCAAGCCATTTTGTAAAAGTGCATCAACTAAATGCTTGAAATTGTTGGGGAAAAAGGCATTGTGTAATTGTTACCCACAGGCCGAAAGAAACCAGTGTCAGCCACCCCCAAGGAGATGGAGTGGGCACAGATGGCTTGTCATCGCTGTCTGGTCTACCTTGGAGATCTAGGTAATAACATGATAATAGAACATGCAGTTAATTCATTTCACTACACCACTTGTAGAGGTGTGAGACAGCATGTGTGTGTCATTCGGCGTGGGAAACTTTGGCTTAGTTTATAGAACATAGTTGGCAGGAGGCTGTTTGGTTCGAGTTATGTGATACACTTATTTTGTTTATACATTTTTTTTTTTATTGAACATTGCACAAGTATATTAAAATTGTCTGCTACTGTATCTACGTTTGGTTGTGAAATCAATTCGGAACAAAATGAGATCTACTCTCTATCATTGTCGGCCTTTTCTGTTACAATTCTGTGGTCATGTAGCCCTCTAAACCTAAAGGAAATTGTTCCTGCTACTATTTTTTTATGTTCTTGTTATTCTCTTTGCAGCCCGTTACCAGAATGAACTTGCTGGAGTGGAGGCTGAGCAGCTGGCAGAGAGGTTTTACCATCAGGCCCTGTCTGTCATGCCACATGTGGGTGAGTGACTACAGTGCACAGCTTAACAGTTCCCATAGACAGGGAGAGCCTAGTAAAAAGTTTCATCTTTTCTGGGCTGGGAGAGTTGCAGAAATACTTTGTTTGGGAAAGTTGTGGAAATGTTTGTTTATTTTTTATTTTTTAGCCAGAAAAAAAAGTCTAATCCAGTTATTCAACAGGCAAAGAAGTCTACAGAGCACTGACAAATATTGATTCTGTTTATAATATTTCTGTGGAAGAATGTGATAATTTGATTGCAAATTTATTATGAGTTCAAACACTACTTAAGAAAATATATCATTTTAGGAAATACTCTTGTACACTTTCTTGCAAAAAGGTTTGGAGGAGAAGATTAATACTTTGCTCAGCTTAGCATAAAGCATAAAACGGTAAGTGAGAAACAGTCTACCTAGCTGTCCAGAGGTAACACTGTACACTTGCCAGCACTTTTACTACTAAACACATTTCCCAAAAATGTTAAATTGCAGTTTTCCTTGATGTATGCCCAGTTAATTTAAAGCTCTGTAGTTCTACTGAGCTAACTAGATGCTTGTTCAGGTGCATTGACTGTAACTGTATTTGTAAGTTTAATGATGTTAATTTAAAAAAAACAACAACTTTGTGCTGTTAGAGCGTAGATCATCAAAATATCAGATATCTTTCGGATTTTTCTTGTGAAGTTGTAAATGTCTGTTATAATCAAATCAAATTGTATTTATATAGTACATTTTAAAACAACACTTAATTGTACCAAAGCCTTTCACAAGCGTCTAATAAAAGGATAGAACCACAAAACTTAAAGCACCAGAAATACTTTATCTTAACAAAATACAGACAAATTAACATATTAAAGTATATGAAGAAACTACCTGGTTTCTAGTAAATGTGTCCCTCTGATTATTTTTAAATAAGCCCATGTAAATAAGTGGGTTTTAAGCAGTGTTTTAAAAGATCCCATGTCTGATGCTGAACTAATATTTAAGGCTAAGCTATTCCAGAGCTTCGGTGCTGCCACTGCAAAAGCTCCGTTGCATCAGCGTCTAGATTTATGCCTGGGGACCTCCAGGAGCAGTTGGTTTGAAGATCTTAATGACCTTAGTGGGTTATGATAATTTAAAAGGTCAGAGAAGTAGGGCGGTGCCAGACCATTCAGAGCTTTAAGCTCAAACAACAGTATTTTATAATCAATCCTGTAATGGACTGGGGGCCAACGTAAGGAAGAAAGGATTGGGGTGATATGATCCCTTTTATGTGCCTGTTAAAAGCTGCTGCATTCTAAACCAACTAAAGATGTAATGCAGAGGCTTGATTAATAGCAGTATAGAGGGCATTACAATAATCTTGTCTTGAACTAATAAAAGCACAGATTGCTTTTTCAGAGTCTCTAAAAGAAAGGACAGTTTTTACTATAGATAAGTCTCAATTGAAAGAACTTTTTTTAACCACTGAGCTGATCCATCATTATGTCAGTGCAAATAAATGACAAATATTTCATGCCAAAGTTTGATGTAAGCATCTCCTGTTGCCTTTAAATCTTCTAGAATGTTATGCCCACTCCCCTTCCTAATATTTTCTGTCTTTACACAGTGAGCAGTGAACATTAGCTAGTGACTCTCAGTTAACATCATATAACTCAAAAAATAAATGTTCACTTGTTTACCCATTGCTTCACCCTGTCTACAGGAATG